AGCGCCAGTGCTCTCCCCTTGACGAGTAAAATCATCTGGCGTTAGACAGTGTAAAATACTAAGGTAGGGTGCATCAAGGTGCAATGGAACTCAATGGGTTAACTAGACATGGTCAGATAGGCCAGTTAACTCATTAAACGCCAGCGCTCTCCCCTTAACGAGTAAAATCGTCTGGCGTTAGATAGAGTAAAATACTAAGGTAGGGCGCACCAAGGTGCAATGCGACTCAATGGGCTACAAATAAACAAAGCAAAGTTTTTTGAATATACATGAGGTTCTTGCATAAACAATGTTATTATTATACATATAATAATTACATCGATTGTGTAATGTGTGGCCTTATAAATAAACAATAATATTCTACTGTTTCTATTTCTCTGGACGTTATATCTTATAATGGCCTGTTTATATGACCTTGCTTGCCAGAATTAATCAACAGCTTGTTCTGCGGGATCCTGGAGGCTTGTGCAATTCAGTTCAGTATCATTTCCACTCGGTAGCAGGATCACTGCTACAAAAATTGTGCTGAATGTGGACATATCATATAATCAGGCCATTTCGACTAGGCAGGATGTCATACAGTACGTAGATTTTGTAAACAGTAACAGGTTAAAATAAAACTATATATAATACTTGTTCAAGACATGACATTTTAGACTGTTTAGTCATGCTGAGGGAAACCATAAGTATTCCAGAATCCATAGTGGCAGTTAATACTTAATTGTCTTTTGGCAAATTTATACACCAACGCAAAATCCTTAACATCAGAAACAATGACTTTTGCTATGCCTTTCGATCTGGTCACTTTCCTCGCAAGATATGATTTAACATTTCTATTGCTAAATTCAGTTAATTCTGTAAATAAACTTACAACACGAGCCAGTGATGTCACACTAATAACGAAGGCTTTCCGATTGCCATCCATGTTAATGTCGGTCAGCAAATTTGGATTGTTTGTAGACCTGAGTGCATCTTTGAGTGCTAAGAAAATTTCCTTGGGGATATCTCTTGTAAATTCAAAATACCATGGTTTTCGTATCCGTGGCTCGCGATTAACCTCCTGTGAATATAACCCAACCAAGTACGAGCTTCATCTTTGAAAATGGCTCCAGTATTCAGCAATGAACGGCTCATTGTTAAAGTTTCGCTTCCTTTGACATGCAGCCTGTAGAGTTCATTCAAGTATTTCCTTGCTTCGTGAGCAAAATGCACCTTATTTTGACCTAACTCATCACAAGTGGCGAAAATATTGACAGCTTCTCCGATGAAATCATATCTTGGCTCTTCTTCGTCGCTACTGGAGTAAAGCGGACGATTCGGGGATAATTCTGAATCATTGTTATTCAAATATATTTCTTTTAGAACAGTTTCAAATGGCAAAATAGCAGCCATTACGTGTCTCATCGGGAAGTCAGAAATTTTAATTTACACTAAGTATTCAGTAAATTACCGCTGACGAACTTCGATCATCTCGCAACTTTTGCGAGCACGCGTGCCCGACGTGTTGGGAAAAGGAAGGTCCATTGTTTCCAAATGAAATACGGAAATGGATCCGCAGCAGAAAGCCACAAGGATAGGAAACAGAAGGGTGGGAGGGTGGCGTTTGTACAACATACAAGAGTAAAAACAACACCCTGACGCAGCCCCCTCCTTCTCGCCCCCTTCTCCGGTCGATTAGGTAAGATTGTCTTGCAAGTGCGTTGTTCTGACAAAATTATCCAGCCAATATCCAGTAGATCAGTACATGTATTCATCATTCTTGTATTAATCTCTAAACAAAAATATTTATATTAGAAAGCAAAATGACAATGTAATGAGGAGGGAGGGTAGGGTTTCTTTTATTAGCATTTGAAAATGGTTGTTCTAACACTACATTTGATGAAATTTAGTTGGACTGTTGTTTTGAACAGAAATACAGGACCAGGATTTAATTCAATATCTCCTGAGAACATTAGTTTCTTATGATATTGTTAATTGGCAATTATGTCTGCAGCCAGAGTTTTGACTGTTTAAAATATTACACAATGATTGTTTTTATACTGTATAAATGTCTATAATAAAATGTGGTATTTGGCTACTTACTAGATGAGGTTAAGTTTCCATGTTGATAGATAACTTTGGAATATCACAAGTAGAATGGTGAAAACAAGACAGCCAATTCAAGATAAAATCAAGATATTTTTGAAGCCAAAATATGGCAAAGAATAACACAAGTCCACGACCTACACGAGGCCAAACTACGCCCGTTCGCAGGTTAGGTGCGAGCACAATGTAAACATTGAACTATAAATAACAAACTATTATTATATTATTAACTATTATTAGTGGTTATTTATAGTTCATATGGATGTAAACAATTGATGTAAGCTAATATTGGCTTAATTATACAAGCTCGTCGCTGAATGGCTATGGGTATAAATGTTAATACTAATGTGCTTCGCAGATACAAAAATAAAGATATACACCGGCACTGTATTGATATATGTTCATACCTGTAAGTTTTTTTCATTATAAAAGTGTATTTTTCCAATTTAGATTGGGTGGGTGGGTCATGAAATAAAATTGGTAAGATTGGATGGGCTTTGAAATTTTTATCTACATCCTAAGATGGGTCACCAAACTTATTGGCAAACTTTGTGATTTACTTCCAGCCCACCCTAGCAGTTACTTTATGACCAGTCCCTTAACCGATTCAGAGCCACCATTCACCCCTTGACATTCAAGTACCATTGTCTGGAGTTAGACAAAGTAAAATAGTCTGGCATTAGACAAAGTAAAATAGTCTGGTGTTAGACAGAGTAAAAAAATAAAGTAGGACGCATCATATGGCATTGCATTGACGTAGAACGATTAATTTGGCATAATAGGTGAAAACTATAATTGATTTGTAATGTTTAGTATAACCAATTTCTCATATTAATATTTATATTTGCAATATTAATTAGTGTTTATTAATATATTTATATCTACTTTTT